CTTCTGATGCCAGTCCTCGGCACTGCGGGGTGAGCAGGACACACCTTACACATGTGGCACATGCTAAAAGATGCACACACATGCTGTGAGTCAAGCCTGGCTGGAGGAGTCTGCTCTTCTGACACCACATCCAGCTACAGGCAGAAGCTGGACAAATTCCGAATGCTGAGCTCCAAGCTGAGCTGTACTGCACAGCGTGACACCGGCCTCATCCAGAGGGCCAGCAGGGTCAGACAGCTTTCAGTTCTTTGGGGTATTTCCAATGGGATCTAGCAAGACATTTCTGACCCGGTGCTTTTCAGCTAGGAGGACATTACCACTGCTGAGTCTCACAGGAAACAGATTGTGGTTACAGAGGGGGGAAAGAAAGGCCAGGCACTTAATAGCACTCCATTCTGTTGTGTTTCTCAGCCGTTTCCAGGAGAGTTTTGTACTGCATTTACTTTTAATAAGGAATCCTGGATGCAGCAGAGAGCTCCTTGCCCAACAACACGCACCATGGTTGAAGCAAAGCAGAAACTTCACCCAGATCTCTGCTCTCCAGACACAGTTAACAGCTGTGATTTTTTCTACCAGACATTATGAACTCCTGAGATGGGGAAAAACACAGTCTGGATAACTGTGACAGTGGAGTTTTCAATATGATCCCCATCACAGAGTCAAACACCCTAAAACTGGATTGCACCAAAACTCAGAACGTCCTTCAGCTCAGTTTGGCACACGTGGAATCGTTATGGATGACAGTCAGTAGCATTCTAAGCTCTGTCATTGCTCAGAGCCCCCATGAAAGCTGAGTCTGGGCAAGCACCACATGATTTTGTGTTGCATCTACAGGGGAGCTTGGAGAGAAGGCAGCTACTGCACATCCTATCACCTCTTATTTCAGTAGGGACACTTTCAAAGCGCTCAGCTCTGACACACAGCTCCAGTTCCTACCTTCCACACTGCAAGAATCCACCTTGCTGCCTGCTTACCTGATGCCAGAGAGCCACCACCAGGGACTAATGGACTGAAAAGGGCAGCTTGATGCACACCAGGCTTTGCTTGGACAGTGTCACCACCCACAGCTCAGAGCTGCTTTCTGTCTGCTCAGAAGGGGCTGCCCCCACAGCACAGCACAAGGGCCAGCACGAGGCCATGTAACTGGAACAGGGACCATGTTTATATAACACTTGGAAACAGCTTCTACAGGGAAGGCCAGCCACAAGCTACAGGAACTGACCTCCTCTGCATCTCTCAGCATCCAAGCGGACAGAACTTGTTTTCCAAAAACTGGACTGGGTTTACAAACCCTGACTCAAAGCATCCCCCCAGCACAAGGCTCAGGCTCTCCCAGAGCCCAGCCCCCAGCACAGCTCAGACCTGGCAGCAGCAGCAATTGCCTGAGATCCCCTCTGCTGTGTGTCGGCAGCCCGGGGCCAAGAGGTATGCATGGCTGTTCCAGCATTTCCCCCAGCGGTTCATGCACTTTGAGAACAGACTGAACCAGCATTTGGCAAGGGAGCTCCTGAATTACCACGCTGCTTTTGTTCTCTCCCCCACCAAGCTGGGTAAACGATGGCCAGGTCACAGCTCCCAGAAAGCTGCTCCATGCAAGAGCACAACAGCACAACGGAGCCTCATCCTCTTCCTGCTGGGTATTCATTGCAGCAGAGCTCAAGGTGGCCATGCTGTGCAATTCCAGCAACCACCTCTCAGCTCAGGCACTCCCAAACTGATGCTGCATATATAAAAATTGAAATTTGCTTTGCCACCTCCCAGGCCTAAGGTAGCAAAGTAAAAGAGGGAGGGATGCTGCAGCAGCCTGCAGAGCAGCTCATCGCCCACATCTCCTTCTGAAGGCTGCAGCTTTTGCTGCTCCCCACGTCACTTCTGTTTATGTGGTGGTTTTAACCACCTCAGATGCTTCTGAAATGGATTCTCTGAAAGCAGGCTCGAGGAATGCCCAAAAATCATTCATTTTCTGCAGAATTTAAAACCTTTTCTGTGGTTGCAGCACACCAGCAGCAGCGAGCTGCCACCTCTCCTCAGCTGCCAGCCAGCAAGTTACACCACACCAAAACTAGGCACAGAGCAGCCCTTTCCCTATCACCTTTAGCTCTTTAGCTTCTGAAGGAGAGGCTGCTAGCACAGGCTGCACAAAGAGGCAGTGCTGCCCCATTCCTGCGCAGACACCCAAGGTCAGGCTGGATGGGGCTCTGAGCACTGACAAGATGTGGCTCGTTGCAGGGCGGTGGGACTAGATGACCTTTAAGGATCCCTCCTGACTCAAATGATTCCATGATTCCTACAGAGGCACGGCTGTCAAATGCTAGCAACAGTTTAATATTCTGCAGAGCAGCTACCAGACCTCTAAGAGCCTATGGCAGCTTCTAGGAGCTGGAGACAGCGCAGCACCCTTCTGACAGCAGGAATCTAGGTGAGTCATAAGCCCGGTTAGCCAAGGCAGACTCTGCACAGCAGATCTAAGCTTGCACGAGGGAGGCAGAGGAAAACAGCTCCAAGTCCTTCGCTGACACCTTGTGTCAGAAGCAGGAATCGGCTGCAGCAAGCTCCAAGTGCACCCAGCAGAGGCACCCAGTGCACGGGGACCTGTCTGAGGAACCACTAAAGCATCAGGACTTCGGTGCTGAAAAAAAAGGATTAAACATTCTTGATTTACACAGAAAGCTTAAGCCAAAACAGCTTAAGCCAAAACAGTTACGCCTGGTCTGCTGGTTGGTAACCCTGAACATAGCAGGGGGTTGGGACTGAATGAGCAGTCCTTTTCAACCCAGGCTGTTCTATGATTCTATGAATTCACATTAAAGCCTGCAGAGCACAGAAAACAGACAGCAAAATCAGAACCATGAGGTCAGAGGAGAGAAACTGTCTGCCCACAGACCTACATGAGTGATCACGAGCAACATTCCTTTGAAGGAAAAGCCTTCAAATCAGGCAGGAATACAGAAAGCAAAGCAGAGGAGGAACAGGAAGAGCAGAGAACTCAGAACAGCCCTTATGGTTGGAGAACAGCAGCAACCACCACAGAGCTGTCTGGAGGAGACAGTAACAAAAGCAGAGCAATGATATGGGAAGTTCAAATTGATTCATTTCAAATGCAGAAAGTGCCACACCAAGGGAGAGCTAGGTTTACACAACTTGGTTTAGGATGCAAAAAGGGGGAAAGGAAAAAAAAAAAAAAAAAGGAAGCTGTAAATACAGAAAGACCCCAAAGAGGAAGAAGCCTGCAGCGATAAAGTCCAGGGCTTGCTGACACTGCTGACCAGCAGGAACATTTCCCAGAAACCTCTTTCAGGCCTTGGGCAACCTGATCTAGTGGGGCAGCCAGCCCACAGTGGGGGCAGCCATTCCATTGTTCTAATCACACTCCTACTGACAAAAAAAAAAAAAACAAAAACAAAAAACAACAGACACCTTGGCACATGTTCCAACCTATCTCCACAAGCTGGTTTTGGCCCTCACAATTTAGAAGCAGGTTGCTGAACCAGGCTCCTGACACATATGAGTGACAAACAAATGGGGCAGTGGCACAGGGGAGCTGCACAGCACAGACTGGTCAGGATGAGCTGACCAAGGGCGATAAGCAACACAAACCCACCCCAGCTTTGTACACACCGATCAAGAAAGAAGACAGTGGCTGAAGCAGGATCAGCCCAAAGCTCACGGGGAAGGGCAGTTCCCGTCCGAGTTTACCAAGCTCTGCAGCGCTGGTTTGGTTTGAACATAAGAAACGCCTCCAAAGCTGCCGGTGCCCCCTGCGTGCTGCCTGCTCCTGTCAGAAGTGCACACCTCAGGCAGGGATCAGGCCATGCCAAGCACCTCATTTCTGGCCCCAACGTAGCGAGCAGGTTTCCTGGCGTGGAAACACACAGCAATGCCCGACACAACCCCAAAGTCCCCCTCAGAGCAGGCTCTCCCCTCAGCCCTCGGCCGTGAAGGGGCGGCGGCTCCGCCCGGCCCGGCGCTCTCCCGCTCACCCTCGAGGCTCTCGCACTGCACCAGGTTGACGTAGTCGCCCTGCCGCAGCACGCCGGCCTTAAAGCCGCGCACCAAACCCTCCAGGTAGCCGTTGTCCACGTTGAAGTAGAGCTCCGGGAAGCACGACATGATGGCGGCGGCTGCGGGACCGGCGGCGCCTCACGTGACCCGGCGCTCACGTGACGCAGCTGTCAATGCCCCACTTCCGGTTCCGGCTTGCTCTGCGCAGGCGGGAAGGGCTGAGGCGGTGTGAGGCGGAGCGCCGCCATCACCCCTCAGTGCGGGGTTGCTGCTGAGAGCAGCTCTCCCTGTGCACTGAGCCGTGACTTGAAGGCTTTTCACGCTGTCGTGGCCCCCTCCTCAGCTGTGTTCGCTGCCATCTCGGAGTGTTTGAGCTGTTTGGGTGGGGGAACGCCCTGTGGTGATGGGGGAGGGCGTGCAGAGGAGGCCCAGAGGGTGGGAGTGCCTCTCCTGTGAAGAAAGGCTGAAAAGGAGCTGGGCTTGTTCAGGCTGGGAAAGAGAAGGCTGTGGGGACACCTCACTGTGGCCTTCCTGTACTTCAGGGAAATTTACATGCATGGGGGGTGGCTTTTTATGCAGTTTGATAGTGATAGGACAAGGGAAATGGCTTTTAATAGAAAGGAACTACAGAGGGTGGTGAGGGGCTTCCCTCAGAGGGTGGTGAGGGGCTGGTATTGCTGCTGTGGGTGCCATCCCTGGACGTGGAGGTGCCCCAGGACGTGGATGGGCATTGGGCAGCCCAAGCTGAGGGGTAGGAAGCCCATGGCAGGGGTTGGGCTGGGTGGGCTTTGTGGTCCTTTCCAACCCAACCGTGCTGTGATTCTATGACACGGTACTGAACACAGCTGTAGGTGGCCCTGCCGGTGGCACTCGGTGACCCCCACAGTTCCAACCACACCGCATTGTGCTCCCTGGGCAGGAAGGACATCCCACATCCCCTTGTTCCCAACAGCACGAGCCCAGTGCCCAGCACAGCCCACACTCAGCACTAGCAGTGCTATCTATCTGCTGCTTTATTGGAGCTGCAGAGGGGGAGGCTGGTGGGGACGAGTGGGCAGCCCTGTGGCACAGGCATTAGTTCTTGCCGCATGGGAAGGTGGTGCTGATCTTCCTGCAGTAGCAGAAGGCGTTGAAAAACCGGCAGTAGCAGGTGGCACAGGGGTCACAGCAGGGGATCTGGTGGCCCAGGCAGGACTCCAGGAGACGGACACAACGGCGAGGGGAGCTCCGCTCCTCCCTGCCTGCAGCTTGCAGGGCCGTGGACAATGCCTGCAGGGGAGAGGAGGAGAGAGAGTGCTCATGGTCCACCCTGCTGCCAAGGAACTGCGTTAGAGAGCCCAGAGCCTGAGGCACCTCCATCTCAAACAGGAGGCTGAGATATCCGAATTCAGCTTGCTCCTAGAAGATACTTGGGGCTTGGTGCTGGACCCTGGTGATGCCAGTTCCTCTTCATGCTTTGCTTGCAGACCCCTGAGCGCAGGGGACCTAAGGCATCATCTGTGAAGACCTGCTTGGGATTCCCCTCTTCCCATCCAGCTGAAGCCTTCCTTCCCCTTGAGGTTACCTCCCTTCAAGGATCCTTGAATTGTTTGTCCATAGGAAAACAACCCTGGTCTCTCCGATCTCTCATCGTGGGATATTCCCCATGCCCTGCATCACTTCAGTGGATCGGAACTTCAGAGACTCAGGTCTCCATCTGTCCCTGAGATGGAAGTCTGGTCCTCTGCAGGGACAGCAGGGGCAGATTGCTTACACACCACAAGAGGAAGGGAGGTTGGCATTTCCTCCCAAATGACCTGGCAATCGTTGATTCACTGTTCCTATTCCCCTTGGCTGGGAGCGTTCTCACAGTCCCCTCTGATTTTTGGCTGAACAATTGGTCTGGCTGGAGCAATTTCGAAAGAGGATGTTTCACACCCACTTGTCATTACGGTAATGTGCAGTGGGAAGGTTGGGTTCCCACAGTTTCTTAGGAAATGAAGCAGGGAAACCTCGTCTGCCTCCAGCCAGCTCACCTCCCAGCTCCTGCAGCAGCATCCCTGAAGGCCAACCCCAAACAGAGGGGCTTTCCTGGCCCCTCCGTTTCCAGCTTCCCTGACTCCCAGCATGTCCACACCCTTCAGCAGGCAGCAAAGGGATGCAGCATCTCGTGAAGTGTTTACTCCCAACCACCCCGGGGCACAGAGAAGCCTGATGTGGCTCAAAGCAACCCTGTTTGGGGTGTTTTTAGGAAAACAAAGACTCTCGGTGTGTTACCTGTGGTTCCAGCACGCTGCTTTTCTGCAGGAGGCTACCATCACCTTCATGCACCTCCATCTGATCCGAGTCCGGCCTGGGAATAGCTCCTGTGAAACAGAGAGAGGCTGGGCAAGGAGGGCACTGCGGGCTGAGCAGGAGCTCCCTGCTTCAGTTCTGGGGAGCTGGCTGTCCCAGGGAGGGCTGAGGACCGCAGGACTCACCAGCAAGCTCCACTGGCAGCTCCTTGGCCTTGTGCAGCAGGCTGGGGTAGCGGGCTCTGTCTGCCTCCTCCAGCCCGGAGCTCATCTTCTGCAGGGGGCTGTGGCTGAGCTCCGAGCTGAGGATGGCCTGGATCCCCTGCAGCAGCCCGTAGCACAGCAGCAGCGCGTTCAGCATGGTCCTGGGGCAACGTGCACAGAGAGCAAGCAGCCAGCGTCAGCCCGGCCCCTCTGCCAGCAGGGCTGCCAGCTCGGCTGCCTTCCTGCACCCCGGCTCTGGGCTGTCTTCTCCGTGATGCTCCCCAGAGGTGTTTGGCAGCCAGTCTTACAGACAGGTACGCAACACCGTGGGCAGGAGCGCGGGGAGCGGATGGGAGCAGCTTCCTATGGCTGCAGCCAGGGGCCTCCTGCACTGCCCTGGGCATTGCAGCTGGAGGCACAGTGACAGGAGTGTCCCCAAAAAGGCCATGGGACATCCCTGTGTTTTGTGAAAGCTCCTGCAAGGGAGAGGCTGAGGCTGCCACGGGGTTTGGGCACAACAGACAACAGTGGGGCTTTGGGAAAATCACTACAGGGCGATGTGGAGCTGACAGAGAGCGGGCCTGGATAGAGGACCTCCAGGTCTGCGTGTGACAGCAAAGGTCCTTGCAGTGGCTGTGGCAGCTCTGGGCCACACATTTCCCCTAAAGAACCCTAAAAAGACAAAACAGCTTTCATGCAAAGCCTCCAGTCGTGCTGCCAGGAGCATCCCCAGGCAGGACCAGCCCCTCTCCCCTCCCGTCCCTCACTCACAGGGGAACCCAGAGCTCCTTCACCCCGCAGTGCCACCCCACTCCATGCCATGGGCACCCAGCAGGGTGCTCCAAATGCTCCCCACACCCACCCCTGCTCCACAGCCCCTTCCCTGCAGACCCACTGACCTCCAGGCGGTGTGGGGCTGCAGGCACCACTCTGCAGACTCGCTCGGAGTCGCTCTGCCTCGATGTCCTCCCTCCCCACATCTCGCCGGGAACTTATATCGGCTCCTCGTTAATTAAGTGCCTCAGCCACATGACCCCGCTAAGCAGCAGGTAGGTGGGCTCTGCTGCAGATGGGGCTTTGTCTGGATGGCAGAGCACCGGCGTGGCGTGGGTGGGATGGAGTGCTGCTGTGCAGGGCTGTGGCCAGGAGCTGGTGCCCACTCGTCCCAAAATCCAAGCAAGCCTACACAGCGATGCTGTGTTGGTACCCAGCGACAGAGGACCAGTGACGGACACGCAGCTTCCTCCTGTGTCCTCACACACCAGCAATGCTTCTGGCCCAACATCTGCCCCTGTCCCCTTCCTCCACCAGCACTCTGGCTTTGGGAAGCCTGCTCTAAATGCCCTGTGTCCCTACAGCCAGCAAAAGCCACGGAAAGGAGCAGCTCTGATGCCAGAGGAGCCTCTGAGTACACGCAGCCCCACTCCCTCATCCTTCTGCATGCTTTGGAGAAAGCCCTGTAGCTCCTGACACGAGCCCAGCCACGGTGCAGAGCCCATTACAGCCTCTGCTCCCACCACTGCCCAGCCACAGATCCTCCAGGCACTGACTGTGTCTCCTCCACTCATGCTTTCCAGGACCCACGGCCTCAGATCGCTCAGCATCCCAGCCTCAGCTGCACCCCAGGAGGAAGGACGAGTGCTGTGTCCCACAGCTGCGTGCGGATGTGCTTCCTTTGGCTTCTCACCACACCCAAACCCAAAGGAAGCTGCAGTGAGTCTGGTGCAGCCCCAGCCCCACAGCCACAGGGCCAGGCAGGGATGGAGGAGTCACCTCTGCATCCACCCTGCTCACATCAGTCCTCCTGCAGCCCCATACCCATTGTGGATGCCCACACCTCACACCCATTTGGGATGCCAATACCTCACACCCATTTGGGATGCCCACCCCCCCACCCAGCACAACATGCACAACACCCCCTCAAGCCCCCTGCACAGCACCCTGCTGCCATAGTGGGATGCAGACCCCATTCCTGTCCCCTCAGCCCGCAGCAGTGACGCCAGCCTGGAGCGGGGCTCATTACGGGCTGCGGGCTTCTGGGAAGGCTTTAACATTGCCGAGGCGGCCGAGCGCTGAGAGCTTTTTAATCTGCAGGTGCTCGGCCGGGCAGTAACGAGCTAAATGAGCAGCCCGCATCGCTTCCAGGAAATGAGCGGCCGCAGCGAGGCCATCCCGCACGTGTCCGTATGGGAGAGGGGGAGAGGAGCGGGCTGGAAGCCGAGCCGGGTGCGATGAGCTGCGCCCGGCCTCAGCCAGAATGCGGGGCGGGGGTGCGGGAGGGACGGGGGCCCTTTAAGGCTGCGGGCCGGAGCACGCTGACGTCAGCGGGGCGGGCGCTCCGGGACGCCGCAGCCCCGCGGCCCCGAGCTCCGCCGTGCGGTGAGTGCGGGACCCCCGGGGGTACGGACGGGGGCTGAGGGATGGGGGGACGGGGGGAGCGAGGGCGGATTGCGAGGGGTTGGACATGGGGTTTGGGAGCGGTGTTTGGGGGCTGGGGGGGGAGGTTGGAAAGGTGCGGTGGTTGTGTTGGGGGCTGGGAGTTGGGGTGCGCTGGGGATGCGGAGCTGCGGGGGTTTGGGGCGCTGGGATGCTACGGGTCGGGATGGCAGTGGTTGTTTTGGGGTGCTGGGAACTGGAGGGTGGCGTTTTGGGGTGCTGGATGGGGATTGGAGATTGGGGTGCTGGAGGTGGGGATATCGGGGTGCCGAGGGCTGGTGGTATTGGGGTGCAGCACGGGGTACCGGGGGTCAGAAGGTTGGGGTGTCGGGGGGCTCAGTAACACCCTCATGGTTGGGGGTGCTGGAAGTGGGGCTGTTGGGATGCTCAGGGTGCTGAAGACCACAGGGGTACTGAGGTGTCTGGGGACAGGGCTGGTGAGGCACTGGAACAGGTTGCCCAAGGAGGCTGTGGATGCCCCATCCCTGCAGGCATTCGAGGCCAGGCTGGATGTGGCTCTGGGCAGCCTGGGCTGCTGGTTGGTGACCCTGCACACAGCAGGGGTTGAAACCAGATGATCATCGCAGCCCTTTTCAACCCAGGCCATTCTATGGTTCTATGATTCGGGGTGCTGAGGTGGCAGGGATGCTGAGAACCAGGCGGGATGTTGGGGTGCCTGGGGATGGGGGAGGTGGGTGCATTAGGGCGCCGGTGCCGGGGCTGAGGTCCTGGAGGTGCAGCGCTGTGCTGCTGGGGCGCCGAGGGATGGAGGGATGCGCAGGGTCCCTGTGGTGGGTGCTGGGGTGCTCAGGAATCGCGACACCCTTTGTCAGCACCGTCCGCCCCGCAGCGCCCGATGCCCGTCCCCACCCGGCGCCATGGCCGAGAGCAAGATCGCGGGGCTGTACGACCTGGAGCGCACGCTGGGTAAGGGCCACTTCGCCGTGGTGAAGCTGGCCAGGCACGTCTTCACGGGGCAGCGCGTGGCCGTCAAGGTGATCGACAAGAGCAAGCTGGCGGGTGAGGCGGCGGGGCAGCTGCTGCAGGAGGTGCGCTGCATGAAGCTGGTGCAGCACCCCAACGTGGTGCGCCTCTACGAGGTCATCGACACCCACGCCAAGCTCTACCTCATCCTGGAGCTGGGCGACGGCGGCGATATGTTTGACCACATCATGAGGCACGAGGGCGGCCTGGCCGAGCCCCGCGCCAAGCATTACTTCGCCCAGATCGTCCACGCCATCTCCTACTGCCACAAGCTGCACGTGGTGCACCGCGACCTTAAGCCCGAGAACGTGGTCTTCTTCCAGGAGCAGGGGGTGGTCAAGCTGACGGACTTTGGCTTCAGCAACCGCTTCCAGCCCGGCAAGATGCTCACCACCAGCTGTGGCTCGCTGGCATATTCAGCACCGGAGATCCTGCTTGGGGATGAGTACGACGCTCCAGCTGTGGGTAAGGGTCTGGAGGTCTCCCGTGCCTCCTGTGCTCCCGTTTATCCCCATCTTGGCATGCACGTGGGCTTGCGTTTCAGTCCCCTGTGGCGCTTCGGGCATCCGCAGAGCCCTGTGGGACAAATCCTGCCCCTGGGATGCTCGGCTGAGCACATCGTGGCCCTGGCAGCAATTGGATGTGGGAAGGAAACCTGCTTAGGATGCAGCCGCCTCCAGCTCCCAAAGTTTCCTCCGGGCGCTTCCTGCTGGTGCTTTGGGCCATGGGAGGAGAAGGAGGAGTGGGAGTCTGGCCAGCCCTGCGGGGAGCTGGGGCAGGAGGGCTGGGCAAAACAGTGCTGGAGCTCTGCAAGGAAACAGCCCGGTTTCAGCATGGGGCGAGGGGAAGGATTCAAAGCTGAGAGCTGTCAGGGCTCGGAGGGGTGGTGGGAACATGAATACGTGGCTCTGCAAAAGCAAATCAAGCAAGGAAACTGGCACGGATGAGAAATTTTAAAATGCAGAGGCACTTAAGAAGCTGAAGGTATTAAGGGAGAGCCTGCGCTCAGCATCCTAAAAATAAGTGGTTTTGCAATAGGAAGAAAATCAGTCTCTGGGCTGCCAGGCGGGGCGGGAGCTGCACACGGGGCCTCTCTGCAGCGGGGCTGTGTGTGGTCACAAGGAGGCACGTGAAGATGAGTGCTGCTGCAGCTGGCACAGGGCTGGCGCCCACCCCGGGGCAGGCCGGCCCATCCGGGGTGTGCTTGAGCAGCTGGGAAGGGCTGACCCAGCACCTGGGCTGTGGGGAGCTTTGGTGACACTGCTGCCCTGCTCCGGGGACGTCCTCCAGAGGGGCTGGCACTGAGGTGAAGGCTGCAGGTGCGTGCTGGAGCCCCATCCCTGTGGCACTTGGGCTCCAGCCCCACGGCCAGATTTGGGAGGCCTGCATGCAGCCGTCCCTATGCGCGTTGGGTGCCACAGTGCTGAAGTGCCACGAGGGGCTGTGTGCCGTGGGGGTCCCCGATCCCTGCCGGCTGGGATCCTTCCCAATGGAGTGGCACATTTGAGCTTCCTCAGGAGCTTACTGACTCTCGTCTTCCTCTTCCTCTTGCAGACATCTGGAGCCTGGGGGTCATCCTCTACATGCTGGTATGCGGACAGCCGCCCTTCCAGGAGGCCAACGACAGCGAGACGCTCACCATGATCATGGACTGCCGTTACACCGTGCCCCCGCACGTCTCCGCGCAGTGCTCCGAGTAGGCGCCTCTCCCCGCTGTCCCCGCCCCCATGGGAGCCCCGCGGCAGCCGGAGGGATGGGGCCGGGGCCGGGGGAAGGCGCTGGCCGCACTCATGCAGGTGTCCCTCCCTTCCCCGGGCAGCCTCATCTCCAGGATGCTGCAGCGGGACCCCCGGCAGAGAGCCTCCCTGGAGCAGATCGAGGGCCACGCGTGGCTGCAGGGGGTGGATCCGTCCCCCGCCAGCCGCTGCCTGCTGCCCCTTACCTCGCACAAACGCGTGTCCCAGGAGGAGCACGAGATCATCATCCAAGCCATGACGTGCGGGCACATCGCTGACCGCGACGCCATCCAGGAGTGAGCGGCAGCCGGAGGGGGGCGGAGGGAGGGAGGGAGGAAAGAGGGAGGTCTGGTGGTGCCAGCGTGAGCGCGGCCGTCGGGTTCTGATGCTCGTCCTTCCCGGTGTCACGCAGGGCGCTGGAGGCCGACCGCTACAACCACATCACGGCCACCTACTTTCTGCTGGCCGAGAGGATGCTGCGGGAGAAGCAGGAGGAGCAGAGCCGCCGTCAGAGCCTCCTCTACGACCTGGCCAAGCAGGTGCAAAGCAGGTGAGCTCCAGCCACCCCTCCACCGCCCCAAGCACCACGCAGCCGGGTGCCGACCCCCCCCTCTGCCCTTCCCCACGCTCAGGACCGACCTCTCGGACACGTTCGGCCCCGGGGGTGGCACTGCGGGCTGTCAGCCCGTAGCAGAGGTTCCTGGTAGCTCCCAGCCCAGCGGCGGGGACGGCAGCCGCGGCCGTCAGGCCCCCCGGTTGCTGCTGAAGGCTCCCACCATCGATACGGCCATCACCAAAAGCACCCCGGCCCTGCAGCAAATCTGCGAGGAGGAAGAAGAGGAGGAGGAAGAGGAGTGCAGACCCAGCGTGATGGAGAGGAAGAGCAGCTCCTTGAACCAGGAGCAGATGCGAGATTTCCTCCGTGCCGGGGCCCGTCGGCCGCCGTGCCGCGGGGAGGTGCTGGGCTGGGGGGCCGAGCCGGGGGGCCGGGCGGGGTACCGGGCCGCCAGCGGAGCCCGAGGGCCCCCGGAGCCGCGGGGGAACAGGAGGGGCGGCGCGGGGACCCCCGAGGGCAGGGAGGGCTCGGGGCGTCCCGGGGAAAGGGGAGGCGTCCCCGCAGCCTCCCCAGAGCCGAAGGAGAAATGCCCCGGGGTCCCCAGGGGGGCGGGGGGCAGCGAGGGGGAGGCGGAGAACGTGATAAAGCTGGACCCGGGTAAAGGCAAGAGCGGCAGCCTGAGGGAGCGGCTGATGCAGTTCCCGCTGTGCGAGAAAGCTCTGGCCTTCAAGATCCACCCCGGCCCCAAGGAGAGCCTGCTGTCCCTGGGGCAGTTCAACTGCTGCCACGTCATTTAGCCCCGCGGCCGGACGAGGGACGGCGGGCGTTTTTTAACTCCTAGAGATGATTTTTTTAAATAGTCTATTTTAATGTAACGACATGGAGACGCTGCATCCCCCGCTGAGCTCCTGTGGGCCACGGCCTCGCGTCCCCAGCCTGCGCTGTTACCCCCCGCCCCCCACGACGCGCTTCCTATTTATTACCTCTTTGTTTTCTTGCTGGCAAGAAATGAACGCACGAGGCGGGGGCCGCCGCTCGGCCCGGGCTGCGCTGCACTGAGTGGATGGGAGCCGCCGGGAAGCAAAGTTCGTCGGTGCAATAAAACCGCGCTTCGGTTTGACGGCTCGGCTGCGTGTGCCGGGGCTGCGGGAGGGAGGAACGGGGAACGCGCCTAAAGGATAAAGCGGCGCCTGAACAGGGGCTTGAACCCTGGACCCCCAGATTAAAAGTCTGATGCTCTCCCAACTGAGCTATCCAGGCTCACGTAGGGCTGCTGGGTGGTGCTCGCCACGGCCCGCGGAGGACCCCAGAAGGATGCGAACGCGTTCTCGCTCCGCAGATTCTTTTTGTCCCGCCGTGGCCACCGTCCGCAGAGGGGCAGGGCTTGGTGCCGCCCGGAAGTGCGCGCCGCCCACGTGCGGCCATGGCGGCCCCGGCTAAGCGGCGCAGGGCGGCGGGGCCGGACCCCACGGCGGGCTTCGTGGCGTGGTGCGAGGCGGCGGGCGTGGAGCTCAGCCCCAAGGTGAGCGTCGGCGGGGAGCGGGCCCGACCCCAGAGCGGGCGGAAGGCCGCGGGGCTGAGCGGGGCTGTCCCCGCAGGTGTCCATCAGCCGGCGGGGCACGGTGTCGGGCTACGGGCTGCTGGCCGCCGCCGACCTGGAGCCGGGAGAGCTGCTGTTCTCCGTGCCGCGCAGCGCGCTGCTGTCCCAGCACACGTGCGCCATCCGAGCCCTGCTGCACGACGGTGAGCGCCGCGCGGTGCCTCCCGGTGCTCCGCCTTACCGCGTCTTGTCCATAAGCGGGGCCGGGGGGCGGTACTGGCTCTTGGGTTCTCTGCTTTGTGTATGAGTAGGGCTGCGGTAAAGCGCAGGGCACGGTCCTGCTGCCTGCACCGCGATGGGAAAGCTCCTCTCTCAGGGGACAGCGCGGCCCTCCCTGCCCAGGGCTCGCTTCAGTGCTTGGAGGAAGCCGATCCGGTTTCACGCACGTGAGTGAAGTGCCAGCACGGGGCGGCAGCTCCTGGTCCTGCAGCAGCCAGGCCGGGGGGAAGCACAGAACGGAGTAAGAGACCTTGAAGGTCGTCTCATTTGCCGGGATTTTGCTCACTAGCAGTGAAGGCAGCCTATAAGCCAGGGCGTTTTCTCATTGCTCTGAGTCACTGCTGCACACTTCAGTTCTGGGAAAATATATTTTTCAGAGCAAACGTCAGATCAACCTCAATTATTTATGTTTTCTTTGTTACCTCTGGTTGCGTAGCCCAGGAGTCCCTGCAGAGCCAGTCTGGGTGGGTGCCACTCCTGCTGGCCCTGCTGCACGAATACACAACCAGCACCTCCCGCTGGCAGCCCTACTTCTCCCTCTGGCAGGACTTCAGCAGCTTGGATCACCCCATGTTCTGGTAAGGCGAAAGCCAGCAGCTCTGCAGAGGGCCCCGTGCTGCAGCTGAAGGGAGGTGGGGGTGCTGGGTGACTCCAGCTGCTCCAGCCCTGTGCAGCGCTAAATGAGGTTGCAACTCCCTGCAACAGAACACAGAGCTCCCCAGAGCACAAAGCTGCTGTTTTGAAGGAGTTCAGACCCTTCTTCCTAGGGGCAGATGGAGATAGAGCTGCTAGTTTTGTTTGCAACAGGCCAGAAGAAGAGCGAACGAAGCTCCTGCAGGGCACTGGCATCCCCGAGGCAGTGGACAAGGACCTGGCTAACATCCAGCTGGAGTACAGCTCCATCATCCTGCCCTTCATGAAGTCCCACCCCGACATCTTTGACCCTGAGCTGCACACGCTGGAGCTGTACAAGCAGCTGGTGGCTTTTGTGATGGCTTACAGGTGAGTGGAGAGGGTTTGCTCTGATGCAGGGGAGGAAAGATGAGCGAGGGGAGAAGAGGGTGGTGAGTGATGACAGGCTGTGTGATCTAAAAGAGTGCAAGAATCAGCTAAAGCTTGCCCCGTATTGCAAGGTATAAAACAGGATTGTCTTCATGTGCCTTGTCGTAGCTTTCAGGAGCCTTTAGAGGAGGAAGATGAAGATGAGAAGGGCCCCAATCCTCCCATGATGGTGCCTGTTGCTGATATTTTGAATCACGTGGCCAACCACAACGCCAGCCTGGAATACGCTCCAGTGAGTGCCGGGGCCCTGCGCCCCTTCCCTGCATGGCTGCCTCCCTAAGGCCAGGGCAGCGCTGCCACTGCCAGGGCAACAAGCGGGCCTGGATTCATTGTAAGCTGTTTTGTGTGACACACACAGCTGCTGTTTGCTTTGTTACAGCCAGGAAGAATTTAGGAGCAGGTGAACCTTCCTAAAGATGCTCTTGCTGCAGGGCAGGACCCGAGGCTTGCTTCTCCTGTTACTCACTGTTGTTGTACAGAGAATATCACACGTTAGGCACATACCTGAATCACCTTCCTGGGGAAAACCAGCACCCTGCTCCGAGAAGCACCCCATTAAGGAACAGTAGGATTGCCACAGCTCTCAGAGCCTCTACTCTCTCTGCTTGCAGAGGTGTTTACGGATGGTTACAACACAACCCATCAGCAAAGGGCAGGAGATCTTCAACACCTACGGGCAGATGGCCAACTGGCAGCTCCTGCACATGTATGGCTTTGCAGAGCCATATCCAGGCAACACCAACGACACAGCTGACATCCAGATGGTGACCGTACGGAAGGCAGCGCTGCAGCGTGAGTGGCACCCTGGCAAAGGATGGGGCAGGGCTCGCTCCTGTTAAGCAGTGACGTAATGAAACGGGGCTCAGGGTGAAGGGAAACGAGGCTGTTCCACGGCACTTCAGGTGCTGGGGCGATGCTACAGCTTTCTGCTTCCTGTTTCCCCTTCTGCTGTCACTGCTACTGCAAACCGAGTTGGGTTTGCAGCTCTGCTGTCTTCAAAGCAGGTGCCAAAAGCGAAGCACAGCAGCAGCTGGTGGCTGAACAGTGGGACTTCTTGTGCCAGCTGGAGATGGTGGGGGAGGAAGGCGCCTTCGTGCTGGGCTGGGATGAAGTGCTGACAGAGGAGGAGCTGTCCACGACCCTGAAGGTGAGCGGTGTTGGGTGGTGACCAGCTGGTTCAAGAGCTGCACAAGAGAGGGCACAGGCTGTGCTGCAGCTGTTAGAACTGTGGCAGAACAGTGAAATGAAGGCAGACGAGCACATGAACTCTTGGCATGTGACTGCCCTCCTCTCCTGGACTAACCTTCCCCTTCCTCCCCTCCATACTTAAGGTGTGGCTGTTTGGATGCTCTCCCACATCCCTTGGCATTAGCTATTACTCTCTCACTGAGGCATAATTCCTCAGCTGGGGAATAACTCACCTGCCCCACAGACTGTGCTGCTCTAGGGAAGGAAGCTGAGGTGCTCACACTTCCCCTGAGCTCCGTGATTGGGTCATTGCAGGTGCTGTGCATGTCAGAAGAAGAGTTCAAGGAGTACAAGGAACAAGATGGCTGGGAGGAGGACAGTGAGGAAGAGGAAAGCTCGACCCTTTCTAATGCAGCTCTCTCCAGACTGAAAGCCCCTTGTAAGATGCTCCTTTACGACAGCGTGCTGCTGACCCTGCAGTCGTACAGGTCAGACCTCAAAGCAGAGCAGGACTTGCTCAGTAAGGAGGTTTATGAGAAACTGAGTCGAAGGGAGCAGCAAGCTCTGCACGTGCGCTATGGGCAGAAAAGGATCCTGCATCAGCTGCTAGAGCTGGTGCAATAAAAGCCTCACTGCCCCCAGAAATCAGCTGCCCAGAACTGTGCTCAGCCTTCAGCCCTCTATTCTGCAGCAGCAAGGATGGGAGGCAAGATGGGCCCACTTGTCCCTCATACGGCTTCTGGCTTTTTAGCTACCTCTGCATAAAGAACGAATTTGCAGAGCACAGGAGCATTCTTAGGTGCCCTGACAGTCAGAGGGCTGGAGCACAGCCACCCCTTTCATCGAGAGGACTTGGTGAAACCCACATCTTGTCATGGTTGCTTAGGGAAGGCTGACACACCACCAGCATAACAAGTGGGTTGCCTCACTCAGCATCCGAGATTCGAGGCAATCACTGTGCTTCATCCAGGTGAACAAGGCAGAATTCCAGCTGGTAGCTCTTACCTCACAGAAAGACAGAGCAGAAGTGCTAAGAACTGAACAGCTCACCTAGACTTCAGTACTGAGCGTTCTGCAAGCAGGAGCCCATCAGTTTCTGGCTTTCACGGAGGCTCAGAACAGCACAGTGATTCCTCTCACCTCTGCAGAAGGCATTCTGTAAGTGCTGGAGACTCTGAGAGCAGCCACAGGTCTGCAGGTTGGGTTTCTGATATGTACCCTAACTCAGGCACCACTACTGTACATCACATATAGCCTTCCTTTTCCCTTGGCAGCTTTGTAAGACAACACGCTGGAGGTTGGCAGGCCAAGCTGTGTTAAATAAAGGTGGAGTTTCTTACCCAGCCCCTGCTGTCTACTTCAGCAGGATGCAAACCCCCCCCCCCCCCCCCCCCCTCAAGATGATCTCTACATTAATTTTAGCTGCAGTGACAGCAAACAAGCAAAGGTTAGCTGCAGCCCTACCTGCACTGCTGGGGTCCAGAGTGCTTTAACATTACTGCAGGTAATGAAGTAATGCAGTGGCTGTTCAGAGTCCGGTCTGCCATCCAGGCTTGGCTCTACAGCAGGCTACACTTCAAAGCAGGCACACAGCAGTGAATGGAAAGGTTATTCTTCCAGCCAGAGGGCATTACAAGCCAGGGCCCCTGCTGGCAAGGACACTGGAATCCCCACAGCTGGCACCAGCACACAGCACAACGCCAGCTGGGGGTTCTTTCCCTCATCAGGAAGAAACAAGGTCACCTGTACCCTCCTACCTGCCCATGAATTTCATGCAACACAGGTTGGGATTTTGGCAGAGTCCCCTCTGCCTCTCCCCCTCTTTTACACCAGCCTGACAGCTCCTAAGGCCTAAAGGGAACCAGATGTGTACAGCAGTATTAGTACAGAAGCACAGAGACCTTTGAGCTTTAGCAGAGCCAGCACTGGGAGCCAGTAGGACAAGTCAACAAGCTCACCTGCAGAGCTTGGCTTAAATAGCAGAAAAACCCTGTCAAATCTGCTCTGGATAAAGCTAGTTGCTGTTAGTTCTCTGTATCCTAACCCACTGCAGGAGGGAAGAGCAAGCTGGAGTGTCAGCTGCATAGCCAGAATGTCACAGCTTGCAGTGAATCCCTCCTTCTATCACTTCTATGCTGTAAGGCCAGAGGAGCTTGCAGTGTTCATCCCTCCAGGCTGAGCTAGGTAAACCAGCAGGCTTGCAGACACTCAGTGAAGGGAGTGTTGTATCAGGGAGCGCGGCTAGGAATAAAGCTGGGCTGCTACCTGTGCTCTGCGTCCCTCCACCGCCGTCTCCTCCCTAGCACTCTGCTTGTCAACTTCCCACCTCCACGTAACCACTGCGCCCCTCCTTCTGGCACTAAGAACCAAGGCTTCATCTGTTCACAGCAGGTCTTCCCTCTTCTCGCCAGGCAGCATCCAAAACGCACTGGAAAACTGCACATTTTTGGATGGCTGAAAACAGAATTTTGAAAGGCAGTGACTGGCCAGGTAGGATGGAGCTGGAGAGAATAAGCAGAGTGGCACGTGCTGCATGTCATGACTTTAATGTGTAACTACAGTATGCATACATACAAGAAGTGGGAGAACTAAAGCCCAAGAACTAGAAAGGCTACAAAATACAACACGTGGACCAATACTTTACAAAACATTCAAAATCCTTACAAAATGGGCTGTATTGGTCCTTTGTTTCTTTTTTTTTTTCTTTAATTTTCTGTTTCTTTTTGCTGTTTTGATTTTTTTTAATTTTTTTTTTTTTTTTTTTTACAAACTTATACTGTCGTAGGGTAGGGAAAGGTCTGCGTTTAGTCCCCCCTTCTCCAAAATTTACAAGTGTCAGAAGAAAAAAAAAAGGAAAAGCTATAGGCCTGGTCTCTGGTTTCTTTACTAAAAACAGCTGACCCTCTCCCAAAGGGCCTGAGGTGTATCTTCTCCAACAGAAAGGAGGCGTTCTGACTGCCACACGGTTCTGTCAGCACTGGGAGGAAAGGGGAAAAATAACTCTGAAGCTCAACCCCCCCCCCCTCACTCCATAGTATTCCCATATTCCAAACATAGCCACTTCTTTTTCTCCCCCCTCCCCCCCCCTTGTAAAACAACTTTACTGATTTAAAGGTCCCCCATCCACATAAAGAAAAAAAAAAATAAGTTACATAATAATATAACTGGCTTTTCAATATTCTTTGGGAGTCTGGCAATGTCAGGACAAGGAGGTCTGCCCCAGACAAGCACTTGGCATCAGCAGCTGCCCCTTTATTACAAGCTGGACAGGCACCAGTTACCCACTTGCCTTTTACACGCTTTGCACAAACCCAGAAGTCCAGACAAACGTTTCTGTTCCTTGTATTTACACTAGTTCAAAATGATATTCACAGCATCTTCTGCATTTTGGCCAAAAGTCACAGATTTGTTTCAAACTTTGGAACGTGCCCAAGGATTTTGACGCCAGGTCGGTTTCGTGCTCCCAATCGAGGGAGCTGGGAAGGTCAGGAGGAGCCTTACAGATTCTTCTGTCGGTGGATGGGACAGGGGCCTCCAGGCCGGCACATTTACAACAAGATGCAGCTCATCTAACTGGCACCAGTCCCCTCCATTACTTGCTGGGCTTGCTTCTGCCCCATGCAGCACTGTGCAACCGACTGGAACAACCTGAACACAGAAGCACAGCAGCATCAGTCGTCAACTCTGCTCTCCACCCGGAACCCAATGCACCACAGCTGCAAACACTCCCCAGCTGCAATGTGCTTTAGCAAACGTGTGGGCAAAGGAGCCAGGCTGTGATTGTCTGCAGTGCTACTGCATCATAAAACGCAGTGTGCTCAGCTCAGTCCCCATGAGAACACAGAAGAGCAGTGTTTGAACAGCATGAGCATTGTGTAGCAGGCTGCTCTGAGCCCTCTGTACTGCACTGTGCTCTCCTAAGAGGAAAGACTGAGAGAATTGGGCTTGTTTGGCTTGGAGAAGAGAAGGCTGCAGGGAGACCTCATGGTGGCCTTCCAGTATTTGAAGGGAGCCTATAACCAGGAGGGGGAACTGCTGCTTGTGAGGGTGGACAGTGATAGGACAAGGGGAATGGTTTTAAACCGAGACAGAGGAGGTTTAGGTTGGATGTTAGGAGGAAGTTTTTCACCCAGAGGGCGGTGAGGCACTGGAACAGGTTGCCCAAGGAGGCTGTGGATGCCCCATCCCTGCAGGCATTCAAGGCCAGGCTGGATGTGGCTCTGGGCAGCCTGGGCTGCTGGTTGGTGACCTGCACACAGCAGGGGGTTGAGTTTAGATGATCACTGTGCTCCTTTTCAGCCCAGGCCATTCTATGATTCTATGATGCTGATGGCAGCTCTGTTTCCAGCTCCAATACTTTTTTCTTTTTTAAAAGATCTCCAGGATCTCCTCTGCAACGTAACGTTTTGCTGTGGAACAAACTTCCACACACAGAGGACAGGGAAAAAAAATAATCAGCATCTCTCATAGCACCTTGCTATGACTTCCAGTAACCACTTTGCATTCTGCTCTCAGGTTGTGTTCCCTCCTCTTATGGCAGGAAATGCTGCTTCTACTGTGAAGCACCCACAGCTCAAGGTGCGACGAAGCACCAGCTTCTAATACATTCCTTCAGTGATTTTGTCACTAAGTTATACTCACTTCTCAATTTCTGGAGCGCAGTGAACAAATTCATGGTTCCAGAACTTAAATGCTGGGTTTTTTATCAGCTCGATGAAAGTGATGAGGAGACCCCAGGGATGAGGCCTATTTACAATCAGTCGTTCCAAGAGAACCCTGCAGTCCAAGAACAAAACAGTTAGAACAGAAAGGTCTGAAAGGACCTGAAAGGACACAAGGAGTGAAAGCAAGAAGCTGAACGCAGGCAAGTGAAATGCATTCCCTCTCACCTGGTGATCTGCTCCTGGATAGCTTCAGTGTTGGCCTCTGCAAACAGGTAAAGCATGGTGCAGCTGAAGTAGTGGGTATGACTGTTGGGGTATCGCAGCTGATTGGCAATTGCATTCAGGAAGAGGTACCGACCTGCAGGAGAGAAGTTGTGAGTACATATGGTGACCCCTGCTCCAGATGTGAGAGGGAAAGAGAAACAAATAGCATTGCCTAAAATCAACGTTCCTAAGCACACCCCCACCCAGGTACAAGAAACAGAAACTGAAGATATGCAGAAGCCTCACCAGCTCTAGCTGGTGGGGCAGTAATCACAATTCTCATTAAAGTGATTTCTCCTTCCCTCTGCTTTTAATACTGCTCTGTATTTAATGTAGGACTGCTTGCTGGAGCTCACTAGCAGCTGCATGGAACGATCTGCATTTCTCATAGCTCAAATCTCCTTTAAGGCAGGTGTGACAAATCATAGAATCACAAGGTTGGAAACGACCTGTAAGATCATCCAGTCCAACCATCTCCTCATCACCACTGCCACCACCAGCACTAAACCACAGCACACAGCACGTCATCCAGATGCCTCTTGAACTCTGCCAGGGACAGCGCCTCCACCACCTCCCTGGGCAGCCATTGCAGTGCCTGACCACTCTCTGAGAGAAATGGTTCTTCCTTATGTCTAATCTAAACCTCCTCTGATACAACTTGTGGCCATTTCCCCGTGTCCTGCTCGCTGCCTGGGAGAAGAGGCCAAATCCCTCTTCATCACAACCTCCCCCTTCAGGATGTTGTGTAGTGCAACGAGGTCCCCCCTGGGCCCCCTCTTCTCCCCCTGGGCCCCCTCTTCTCCAGCTCACCTTCAGTGTCCAGGTCCACTGCCAAATTCTGGAAGATGTCCATGTGTGCTGAGTGGGTAATGGTGCTCATGGAGGGCGTGCTGCCTTTGTTGTGGATGTGCGCAATGGCCTGAGTGCCCACGTAGAGCACCAGGGCATTAATCAGCTGGATGTTGTAGCGGTTGCCAGGTTCATTTGATACCTAATAGGGAAGATATAAAAAGCACTAACATTCTATGTTCCTTCAGTAATTTAAGGGACAACATGTACAACAACAGCATCCTTGTTTATCTTGGTTTATACAGAAGGCAACATAATGTCTTGCCTCAGCCCCGGAGGTACTCTGCTCCAGGCTGGATGGGGCTGTGGGCACCGCAGAGATGTCCCTGCCACGACACCAGTTGGACCTGGATGGGCTTTCAGGTCCCTTCTGACCCAAGGCATTGTGTACTCTACACAGCACTGGTGAAGTGCTGCCAGACAAGGTGTACAGCTATTGTACTCCCTGCTTGAAAGAAGAAAAAAGATCAGGTAAAGGCAATCTGAAGGCACCAGCTGTGCCATGAAACAGCCAGCACTCGTGTGAAGGCTTATCTGGAGCAATTCTCAGAGACTTCAGTCCTGAG